CGCCCGCTAGGGTCCGCCCGCCCGACCCGACCCGCTCGCTCGGGTCCGACGCCCGACGCCCGACGACGCCGCCGCCCGACGACGACGACGACGACGACGGCGGCGACGGCGGCGACGGCGACGCCGACGGCGTCGACGGCGTTGGCGAAACAAGCGCCGGCGAAACCAGCGCAGGCGAAACCAGCCGCCGGCGAAACCAGCGGGGCGAAACCAGCGGGGCGCAACCAAGGCCGGCGAAACCAAGGCCGGCGAAACCAGCGCCAGAGAAACCAGCCGTCGGCGAAAACAGCGGGGCGAAACCAGCGCCAGCGAAACCAGCGCCGGCGAAACCAGCTCATGCCAGGTCGACTGGGGGAGGAGGAGTAGGAGGAGGGTGAGTGCCAGTGTAAGCCCAAGACGCATGATCGATGTTGTAATTACCCCTCCTCCAAGTTCCCTCTTCACCGGTCCCTGCAAGGATTAGTTTTCACTGCGCCCCGTGGGAGGACAAGCATCTGAGAGTCCGCAATCGTGCCAGAACACCATGTCTGGGACTTGCTGCGAATCAACGTTGCTACTGCGTCCAGACGGTTTCAAATCGTGCCGAAACACCATTCACGGGACGGCAGCCATGATAATCTTTGATCTGTTGAACTTTTACGATGACTGTGCGCGGCGCTGAGGCGAGAACCACATTTTGAAAAAGGAGCTGCCCTCCATCAGTGAAATTTGGCAAGCTGTTAGGACGAATGTGCGCGGCGCTCAGATGAGAGTCACATTTTGAAATGGCCTGCCTTCTATCCGTGAAGCTCTTGCGTACTTTACAACGAATGTGCGCAGCGCTGAGGCAAGAGCAACATGTTGAAACGGCCTGCCCTCCATCCGTGAAGCTCTTGCACACTTTACTACGAATGTGCGCGGCGCTAAGGCGAGAGCCGCATTTGAGCATGACCCGCTCGCCACTCGTGGGGACGTCTCAGGCGAAACGCCCGCCCTGTCCTTCCGACACGTCTCGGGGTGCGACGGGGAGGAGTTTTTTATCCGTAAAGGCTTCGCCCCATGCCGCCGGCCCCCCGTCTCGGAAAATGGGAGATGCAAAAGCTAAATCATGAGGTCTGGGCGCCGCCGTGAAGCAGTGTCGGGACCTGTTTGTTTTTCGACCCTGACCCTGCGGATCTGCGTGAGGGGTGCCGCCGAATTTCAGAAATGTGGCAAATTCCTTGTCTTTTTTGACCCTGACCCTGCCGATCTGCGTGAGGGGTGCCAGCAAATTTCAGAAATGTGGCAAATCCCATGTGTTTTTGGACCCTGTCCCGCCGATCTGCGTGAGAGGTGTTACCGAATTTCAGACATGTAGCAAATCCCATATGTTTTTGGACCCTGACCCTGCCGATCTGCGTGAGTGGTGCCCGCGAATTTCAGAAATGTGGCAAATCCCAGGTGTTTTTGGACCCTGACCCTGTCGATCTGCGTGAGCGGTGCCACCGAATTTCAGAAATGTTGCAAATCCTGTGTGTTTTTGGACCCTGACCCTGCGGATCTGCGTGAGGGGTGCCGGCGAATTTTAGAAATGTGGCAAATTCCATGTGTTTTTGCACCCAGACCCCGCCGATCTGCGTGAGGGGTGCCACCGAATTTCAGAAATGTGGCAAATCCCATGTGTTTCTTTACCCTGACCCTGCCGATCTGCGTGAGGGGTGCCGGCGAATTTTAGAACTGTGGCAAATCCCATGTGTTTTTGGACCCTGACCCTGCCGATCTGCGTGAGGGGTGTTACCGAATTTTAGAAATGTAGCAAATCCAATTTGTTTTTGGAACCTGACCCTGCCGATCTGCGTGAGGGGTGCTGGCGAATTTCAGAAATGTGGTAAATTCCATGTGTTTTTGGACCCTGACCCTGCAGATCTGCGTCAGGGGTGCCGCCGAATTTTAGAAATGTTGCAAATCCCATGTGTTTTTGGACCCTGTCCCGCCGATCTGCGTGAGTGGTGACGGCGAATTTTAGAAATGTGGCAAATTCCATGTGTTTTTGGACCCTGACCGCGCCGATCTGCGTGAGGGGTGTTAATGTTTGCCCACCCCAGCAATTCAGACAACACGCTCAGGGCGTGGTAAAAATGCCTGTTTTGGGCTCCCCCCTCGCGCGGTCCATCAACAAGGAACAGTAAGCAGCAAGAAGCAGAACTGTAACAGTGGAAACTGGAAGCTGCAACTGGTACAGGAAACTGAGAACCTTCGGCCTACAGCCTGGTGGCCCCACAAGAGGGCCGGCGGACAAAGAAGAGGGATGGAGGAGGCGGACGAGGACGAGGAGGAGGACGACGATGATGATGATGCTGCTGCTGATCATGATGATGAATGATGATGCTGCTGATGCTGCTGCTGCTGCTGATGATGATGATGATGATGATGATCATGGTGATGGTGATGGTGATGGTGATGATGATGACGACGATGATGATGCTGATGATGCTGACGATGATGATGCTGACGATGACGATGATGATTATGATGATGATGCTAATGATGATGATGGTGATGAGGATGATGATGGCGGCGGTGGTGGTGGTGGTGGTGATGGTGATGATGATGCTGCTGATGATGATGCTGATAACGCCGATGATGATGATGATGCTGATGATGATGATGATGATGATGATGATGATGATGATGATGATGATGATGATGTTACTGATGATGATGATGATGATGATGATGATGATGATGATGATGATGATGATGCTGATGCTGATGCTGATGCTGATGCTGATGCTGATGCTGATGCTGATACTGATGCTGCTGATCATTATGATTATGCTGCTGCTGATGATGATGATGATGATGGCTGTGGTGCTGGTGGTGATGGTGATGATGATGCTGCTGCTGATGATGATTATGCTTATGGCGATGATGCTGATGATGATCATGATGAGAATGAGGAGGAGAGGAGGAGGAGGAGGAGGAGGAGGAGGAGGAGGAGGAGAGGAGGAGGAGGAGGAGGAGGAGGAGGAGGAGGAGGAGGAGGAGGAGGAGGGAGGAGGAGGAGGAGGAGGAGGGAGGAGGGGAGGAGGAGGAGGAGAGGAGGAGGAGGAGGAGGAGGAGGAGGTGGAGGAGGAGGGCCCTCCTCTGAGCAGAGGCGGGGAGGGACGGGTCGCCTGCAGGGGCGCGAAGATGGTAGCGCTCTCCGCGCTGCGCGGCCTGGCCCGGCGAGGTGCTCCTCTCCAGGCGGTGGCACGGGAGCGCGAGAAGGAGCGCGAAGTCAGGTCTGGCCACGCGCAGAACGGGGTAGGGGGAGGGGGGAAGGCTTCTTAGAAGCACCCCTGCTTCTTAGAAGGCGCGGGCCTTCTTTGTAGGTGTAAGGCCGGCGCCTTCTAAGAAGCAGCCTCATTCTGAGAAGCCTTCCCCCCTCCCCCTACCCCCTTGTGCGCGCCGCCAACAGGTGGTCCAGCAGGGTCCACTGCGATCCGATCGATCCGCTTCGATGTCGTTCCCGGCCGGCCCGATGCGATTTTGGGCCGCTGCCTGCACGGCGCTGCTGGGCATCCCGGCGCAGCCGATCCGATTCGGTTTCGATGCCCTGCCGATGCAGCCCGATCCGCTGCAGATTTCGATTCGATACGATTGGCCAATTCGATGTTGACTGTTCCTGCCCGGTATGGAGACGAGAGGGGAGCAGTGGACCCCCCCTCGCCGATGGCCCTCGCCCTCCTCCTCCCTGTTGGGCGCAGAGTAGCAAGACATCAAGCTGACCGCCGTGGGGGACGCTGGTCCCAGGGCGGCCGAGAAATCTTCATGCTTCCCCGTGGCGAAGCACGGGCGTGCGAGGCGTCCCGCCGTGCCGCCCTGCACGGGCGCGCCCCTTCAGTCGGAACCCTTCCTGGTGCTCTGTTGCCCGCATGCGCGCGGCTGTGTATTCTCGGCGTCCGCGTTGTCCGCAGAGGCGAAGGCGGGGAACACGCGTGCTTGGGGCAGCGGATGTGACCGAGGTGGGCGCGTTCCCCACGGAAACGCCGACCGCGGCAGGTTTCAATCGGCCGACGTGTGGCCGGAGCGGCTGTCCGGCAGTGCGCTCGCCCGGCTTTGGGGCGCAGGTCCCGCGGGCCAGGGCGAACGGATGAGGGACCGAGCGCGAGGAGGGGGGGAGAGGAGGGGAAGGCGGGGATGGAGGAGGAGGAGGAGGAGGAGGAGGAGGAGGAGGAGGAGGAGGAGGAGGAGGAGGAGGAGGAGGAGGAGGAGGAGGAGGATCAGATGCAGATGCGATTCTACAACACACCCTTCCGTCCCAAGACCCCTTCTCATAAGTCCCTACCGTAGACCCCCGCAGATGCGGATAAGAGTGAGGGGGCGGCGAGGACGTCGACAGTCAGCGAGGCTCTGAAGAAGCCCGCCGCCTGCGCTTAGTTTTAACAGATTATGCAGTGAGGCCGCCGCAGGCGCCGATTTTTTCGTCAAAGCAATGTAGGTGGGTCGCGGGTGGCTCGCGGGTGGGTCGCGGGTGCGTCGCGGGCCGGGTCGCGAGTGGGTCGCGGGTGGGTCGCGTGTGGATCGCGGGTGGGTAGCGGGCGGGTCGCGGGGGGGGGGCGCGGGTGGGTCGCAGGTGGGTCGTGGGTTGGGTCGCGGGTCGGTCGCGGGTGGGTCGCGGGTGGGTCGCAGGTGGGTCGCGGGTGGGTCGCGGGCTGGGTCCCGCGGGGGACGACGACAACAAACAACAACAATAACAACAACAACAACCCGCACCGCAGAACTTCTCTTCAGCCACGCGCACATGCACAGTGAATGACCGTTCGGCCCCCTCCCTCTGATCAGTTCTCGTTTTCACTACAAGAGGAGCCCACCCTGAAATACCAGCACAGATGGGCCTTCCATTTTTGCGAGGGCCCCTTTGAAAAGGAATGGCCTTGCCTCGTTCTGTTGCGTCAAGAGGAACGCGAAAGCAATGATCATACAGTTCAGCGGGGTGTCCAGCGAGGTTCCCCTTTCGGAGAAGGACCGCCCTCCCCCGCCATCCGTGTAGTAGTTGTTGCACAATTTTACCCTTGTGATCATGAGCTTCGAGGAAGTTTCAAGCGGCAATTTTAATTTTTGGGTTCGAATTTTGGGTCTTTTTGAAAGACCCGGAGCCCCAGGCTTTGTATTGAGTGCCAGAAGTTTTTTTGGTTTGTATAAAAACAAAAGCAAATATGCTCATGAAGACTCTTTAAACATGCTAACCTGAATTGCCGTTGGTTCGAGATCATCATCGTGGGAAACATGAAGACGCTCTGCACCTCTCAACGAACTCCCATACGAGAGCCCCGTTTTGAACAATAACGATAACACTCATCCATCGGGTGAATTGTTTTCATGAACAGCCAAACGAATGCGCCCGGGCCTGAGGTGAGAGCCCCATTTTGAAATCAACAACTGCACAGTCCTTGAAACAGTTGCAAGGTTTGCGGCGAATGATTGTGGCGAGTTGAAAAGGATCCGCCTCCATGTGTGAAGCAAGGGTAACATTTTACGATGAATGTGTACGGCGCTAAGGCGAGAGCACCGTTTTTGAAAGCGACACTAGCTTTTTCTATTTTTTGAAAACGACGCCCGTTTTCTGAACCAGGTATAAACCTTTGAGATGAATTTGCGTGGCGCTACGGCGATCACCACATTCTGAAACCGACCACTCCTACATGTGGGACGCGCTTGTAAACTTTCCAGAAGGAGGTGCGTGGCGCTAAGACGAGCACCATTTTGAAAATGCGTACCCTCCCTCCCGAAGTCTGTTGCGAATCTTTAAGACAAGTGTGCGCGGCGCTACGGCGAGAGTCACTTTTTGAAAGCTAGCCGCCCTCCATCTAGGCAGCTGTTACAAACATTTGTAATGAATGCGCGCGGCGCCAAGGTGAGCCCACATGTTGCAAACGACCCTCCCTCCATCCTTGAAACATGCGCGAACTTTTCAGACGAGTGTGCGCGGCGCCATGGCGAGAGCCGCATTTCGAACAGGAACCGCCCGCCATCCTTGAAACGATTGCAAACTTTCCAGACGAATGTGCGCGGCGCTAAGGCGAGGGCCACATTTTGGAAACCACCTCTTTCATCCGTCAAACTGTTGCAAACTTTCCAGACGAATGAGCGCCGCGCCAAGGCGATAGCCACATTTTGAAAGCTCCCCCTCCATCCGGGGAGCAGCTGCACATTTTTTAGACGAGTGCACGCAGCGCTAAGGCGAAGTCCACATTTTGAAAACACCTGCCCTCCATCTGTGAAGCTGCTGCAAACTTCAAGCTTCAGAGTCATATGTGGTTAGGAAGTCTCAGTCGACACGCTGGACTCGCCCTACTGACAGGTCTGGGTGTGCGACAGCGGGGAGTTAGTTGTAAGGGAAGTGGACGGAGGATGAGAGGGAGGAGGATGAGGAGGATAAGGAGGGGAACGAGGATGAGCATGATGATGAGAAGGGCGCAGGAGGAGGAGGAGGAGGAGGAGGAGGAGGAGGAGGAGGAGGAGGAGGAGGCACAGGGGATAGAGCAGGAGGAGGAGGAGGGGTTACCTTCGCGTTCTCACCTCTCTCGTTGATTGAGTCCCTCATTGGTGGGCCTTGGCTCGCTGCACAGCGGGCCTGGCGCGAGGCGCTCGGGTGGAGGCCCCCGGCGTGTTCTCCTTCCGCCTCCTGGAGGAGGGCGTGTGCCGGAAACTGCTGGAGGAGGTGGCGCCCACGCTGTGCCCTCCCCTCTCCCCCTTCCCCTTCCCCTCCACGTTCCTCTCCCCCTTCCCCTCCTTCTCCCCCTCCCCCTCACCCTCCCCCTTCTTCTCCACGTCCCCCTCCCCCTTCCTCTCCCCCTTTTTCTTCCCTTCCACGTCCCCCTTCACGTTCCCCTCCTCCTTCCCTTAAGCCTAGTGAGGAGGCAGTGGAGAACGAGCAGCAGGGTGAGGCGGAGGTGGATGCAGACTGCGGGTGAGGAGGAGGAGGAGGAGGAGGAGGAGGAGGAGGAGGAGGAGGAGGAGGAGGAGGAGGAGGAGGAGGAGGAGGATGAGGATGAGGATGATGATGAGGAGGAGGAGGAGGAGGAGGAGGAGGAGGAGAGGAGGAGGAGGAGGAGGAAGGGAAGAGGAGAAGGAGGATGGAGGAGGCGGAGAAGGAGGAGAGGAGGAGGAGGGGGAGGAGGAGGAGGAGGAGGAGGAGGAGGAGGGGAGGAGGAGGAGGAGGAGGAGGAGAGGAGGGAGGAGAAGGAGGAGGAGTACAAGAGGGAGGTGGAGGAGGAGGAGGAGGAGGAGGAGGAGGAGGAGGAGGAGAAGGAGAAGGAGGAGGAGGAGGAGGAGGAGGAGGAGGCGGCGGAGATGGAGATGGAGGGACCCAGGGATGGATGGAGGGAGGAAACTTGGGCTAGACCAAGCACTGCTGGAGGCCCTCTCCATCCAACCCTTTCTCTCGCTGCTGCGCCTGTGATCCTTCCAAGGATCCTTGCCGCCACACCTGCGGCCCTGCGTCGGACGGTCTGGAGTGGAGTGCAGTGCGGTTCGTGCCGTCGAGTGGCAGGCATCCTGAGGGCCACCTGTCCTCCAAGTCGCCCGCAGGGGCGCGAAGGCGTTGGCGCTTCGCTCGTCGCTGTCTGCAGTGGGGACCTGCCCTTCTCCATGGGGGAGGGCGCGAGGGCGCGAGGACTCGAAGATAGCCGCGCGTCTCGCTCGGCATGGCGAGGTGCGCGAAGTTCGGCGACCCAGGGTCCCAGACGCTGGGGCCTTTCCCAGGATAGTTTTTCATCTGGACGTTTTTTTTCGGACGGTCTCCCCCGAGAGGTCAATCGCGGTGAAGAACCTCGGAGGTCCTCTCCTTCTGGCCCCCCGTGTTTTCTGTATCAGTGGTTGTTCTCGGACAGCCTGGCTGCCGCAGCTCGAGAGAGCGGAGCGCTTCGCTGAACAAGTCCCTAACGCTTTGCGTACCCCCACCAGCGTACCTGCGGTCCCTGGTCCTTACGCGAGGTTCGGCGTCCGTCGGCTGGATAGGTTTTGAGTTCCCGGTCGCCCACTTACGGCAAGTACACGGAATACAACAAGTTCAGGGTGATCACCTTCTCGATCCTCTACCTCTGAGTTGCGGCTTGTGCTTTTCTTCTTTCCACTCGTTTCGGTTTCCTCTCTCGCTTCGTTTTCTTCGTCGTTTCGCCCCTTCCTGCTTCGCCCGCGGTGCCGTGTAGCGCTGGCTCGGCGTAGTGGCCTCTTCCTTTCCGCACGACCTTACGACGCCGCGCGGGTGTCCGCTCGCGGCCGCGATCAAAAAGACCTTCACCAGCGGTAAACTCTTCACTACGTGTTCGCGTTCTTGCTCTTCGGGCACTCTGCGGCCACGCTTGTGAGCAATGTCTTCGTGTTCGGCGCGCTCTTGTGCCCGCCTGGTCGGTTCGCGGCCTCCAGTGTGCCGTCGCTCACTGTTTTTCTCTTCGCTACCGGCGCGGCCCGCCCGGGCAGGCTCGGCGTTCGCTTCGCTTCGCGCGCCCGCGGACCAAAAAAGTATCTCCACCAACCCAGCCAGACACGATGCCCAGCGGAGCTGCCCCGAACGAGGGGGTTCGGTATCATTTGGCTATGTCGGGGGCCAGAGGCTCCTTGGATGCTTCGTTGGGTTTCTTGGGGTGTCTCTGGGGAGCTATCTTGTTGGGTCTTTGGGGCCGTTTGCCGACTCTTGGGAGGGCCTCTCTGAGCGTCTCGGGTGTCTCTTGGGGACCTCTTGGGTGCCTCTTGGGGGCCTCCTGGGGGCCTTCTGGAGGCCTCTTGAGGGCTTTTCTGGCCGTCTTTGGGTCGTTCGGGTGGCTATCGATCAGAAGGGGGTGTCCGCTAACAGCGTTGCCTCCCCCAGGAGGCTCAAATTGGCCCCAAGCCTAACATCGAACAGTGATTTGTGCCTTTTCGCTGAGGCCCTGTTGGGCGCTCTGACCGTTCGTGGCCCCTACCGTCCAGATCTAGGGGTAGGGTATGTGGGGACGGGTCAACGCAGCCTCCTCGCCCGCAAGCTGTCTCGCTCACTCCCGCCCGCCCTCCCAACACATAAGTAGCACCCGAGCTTCAACGTGTTCGGCAGTCCTCTATGGATGGACAGCCACTGGGAAGCAAAACGAGCCCATATGCGCGACGCCTGGGTGAGGTGCGCCACGCTTGCCAGGAACACCACGCATGCCAGATGCGCCAGGCACCAGTGGGGCCCAAGCGTGCCAGGCTTGTCTGACGCTCCAGATGCGCCACGTATTCCGCGTGCGCCATGTGTGCCGCATGATGACGTCTGTTGCCGTTTGGGCTCAAACGTTCGGCCTTTTCTGAACAACCCGCCCACCACCCTTTGGCATCAACTTCCTCGGAGGTGCAGTGGCCCTGAGCCAGGGCCTCCGGAACCATCGAGGATACGAACTGATCTGTTGACAGCGACGTGGTCAGAGCTAGCGTTGAGGACGCTAGAACATGCTGCATAAATAAACCCGAACAACAGCCAGGCCCGCACACTTGTTGACTGTGTCGCGAGCACACAGTGGATCATTGTTTCTTTGCAGGTGCAGACCCACGAGGATGTCGGGCCCGCACACTTGTGCATTCGAAAATCAAAGGAAATGATACGCAAATTGGACGAACGGGCTCCCTGAAGTGCAGGCGCGACGTTCTGGCCCGCGCATTTGTTCACTCAGAGCGCCACCGACACCCACCAAGGACGGTGGAACTCCCTGTAGGTGCGGACCCAAACAAACCTGGCCCGCACATCTGGTCACTCCATGCTCCGCGGACACGTACGTTTGATCATTAGCTTTGTGCTGGCAAGAGTTCCAAAAACATTTCGCCATTCGAAACGCAGAAGCAAAGCGCGCGCAGACTAGAATATCTGACTCCCTGAACGTACCAATCCCGGTCAAATCTTGCCCGCACATATGTTCGTCCAAAGCGCTACACGCACGCTTCACGGGCCCTGGAACCCACTTCATGTGCGGACCCCAAAAAGCCTGGCCCGCACATCTGTTTCATTCCAAGCGCCATGGACACGCAAATCACACGACCGTCCCCCTGCGGGTGCAGACCAACAGAATCGCGGTCCGCACATCTGTTCACTCGAAGCGCAGAAGGGAAGGACGCGCACATGAGCGGATTCAGCTCCCTGAAGGTGCCGCCCCCCCAGCTGTACCTGGAATTGGGCACGGACCCGAACAGGTGCAGTCAGTAGCATCTCGCGGGCTTCCTTGCCTCGCAGGGGATACAGAGTCTGTCTGACGGCGCCCGTGCTGGAATACCGACGCGCCTACGGCCAGCTGTGGGGTTCTCCATCGCACGGCCTACTCAGCACGTCTTCAAGAGCTTGGCGTGCTGGTGGCGAGGCAGGTTCTTGGCGCACGTGATGCTGATCAACCTACGGCAATTGCCATAATTCGCGACGCAACGTATGCATAGACCAACATGTCTGTGCGACGTGATGTTCTTCGGCAGTACGCCATGCTTCCCCACGTCCATTGCGACGCTCTCCACACCGCCCCTTGAGGGCCTCTGGGATTACAGCAAGAGCGGATGTTCCAACAGGCGGAGTTATGCTTTACAGGTTTCTTCTGATGCTTCCGGTCTGGTCTTCAGCGAGATCGTATTCAAGCTTCGCAGTTGTGTGGCAGCCCGTCGGATCGCCGGGCTGCGGCCATGGGGCTGCGTTATTTCGCTGAAGGTCTTCATCGTACTTGCTGTTGGAGTTACACCTGCTGTCATGATGGATTTTGTACAGTGGAAGTCGCCATCTTGACCCCGCACTTTGTTTTTTTACCGCAGTTCGTTAGTCTGCGGCGGGATGCTCCCCTGTACTGGGACAGTGCGCCGTCCTTGGGATACTGCACGGCAGGCTACCCGATTTGAGGGTTTTTGAGTCTCCGAGGTATGGTCTTGTTGGGACGATTCTTGCTTTTTGCTTCTACCCTTGTGGTTGTGGTTTAGTACCAGTTAATCGGGAAAGCAGAGCGTGCCTGGCGTCGATCCAACTGCCAGCGCGAAGTCGGTCCACGACAAGATAAGGCCCCCAAAACAATCTTGCCCGCACATTTGTTCATCCAATGTGCCGCAGGCACGCTTCAGGGGCGGTGGGGCCCCCCTGCTGCAGGCGCAGACGCCAAGCACCCCTGGCCTGCACAGCTTTCACCCTCGAGCGCCGCGGACGCGCAATGTGCGTAATCAGCCCTATGCATGCCAGTCCATTCGACGTGCCGGCCAATTAGCTTTGTGGTGCCCCTGCATCGCTGCCACGCTGGAGCGGATTGTCCCGCCTCGCCGCCGACGGAACTAAAGAGTTTGTCCATTCGAAGCGCCATGGATGCACGCAGAGGGAGTTCGGGCCCGCTGCAGGTGTGGGCCAAGCATGTCTGGCCCTCCGCTTTGCTCCTTCGAGGCGCAAGAGAACGGGCGCGCACGTTGACAGATGGAACACCCTGCAGGTGCGGATGCCGAAATCCCGACCCGCACATTGTTTATTCAAAACGCCACGGACACGCAACAAGTGCGCTGGAGCCCTCTTCAGGTGAGGACCCCCCAAAAGCTCGACCCGCGCATCTATTTACTCAAACCGTCGGGACACGCAACTTGGGCGATTGGCTTTCCGCAAGCGCGGGCCCCCGAACAGTGTCGCCCGCGCATTTGCCCACTCGAAGGACACAGGAAAGGACGCGCACACTGGGAGGTCGAGCTCCCCGCACGTGCGGGCCCCCAGGATACCCGGATTCAATGATCGGCTCTCCGGGTATGAGCTGGGTTGGGCCGAAAGTCAACATTTTAAACACCGCTGGCCCTGCTGGTTGCGAGCCACTGCCAGCGTCTGCTGCATCACTGGATCCGCTTGCCCCCTGCGTCGTGAAACCTCGTGGCCCAAGAGCCGGCTGGGGGATCTTCTCCTGGTCGATTTCTTCTTATCGGCGGCGATCTCGGGGGGGAAGTAGGCCTTCTCAGAATGCTCGGAAGTCCGCCAGCCTTCTGAGAAGTTTCAAAGCTTTTTACGAAGGCACAGGCAACTTTTCAGAAGGCGTCAGGATTTCTGAGACGTCCTGCCGCCTTCTGAGAAGGCCTTCTCCTTCTCACTCCGCCTTCTCGCTCGCCGCCGATCTCAGTTGTTCTGACACCTCTTCCCTCCACAGTCTTGCTCGTGGGGAGGAGGAGAAGGATTGCGAGGGCTTGGGAAGTGGAGGGTTGGGACGGGGTGGTTCAGAGGTTGGGAGAGTGAAGATGGTAGGGACAACGCGACGATGATCAAGGGTGGGAGGGGGTGGAGAGTGGATTGGTGGATTTTGCGAGGAAGTGCTTGCTCAGCTCACCCATCAGGTGAAGCATTACGGCAAGAGCAAGTTTCCCCAGGTCGCGCCGAACAGCATGAACCGTGACGGTCCGCGGGTGTAGAGCGTATTGCAGCTCAGAGCAGGTACGAGAAGTTCAGTAAGTTGTTCCCAACCATTATGTGGTGTTGGGTCATCGTTTTGAAGAGACATCGCCCGGCGTCTCCTCTCTTCTCCTCTCCTCTCCTCTCCTCTCCTCTCCTCTCCTCTCCT